TGGTGAGGATCTCTTTTGGTCATGTTTATTGGGGGTTCTATGAGCTTCCTGTACTAGGATATCTCTGTCCTTCTCCAAACCTGGAAAGTTCTCTGCTAGTATCTCACTAAAAAGGCCTTCCAATCCTTTCTCTCTCTCCATGCCTTCAGGAACTCCTAGAACTCGAATGTTGGTTTTTTTAATAGTATCCTGTAGATTCCCAACAATATTTTTCAGGTTTCTAATTTCCTCTTCTTTTCTTTGGTTTGACTGTATGTTTTCCTGTGCTCTATCTTCTAAGTCCGATATTCTCTCTTCTGCTTCACCCATTCTGTTTTTAAGGCTTTCTAATGTGTTTGTCATTTGATCTATTGAGCTCTTCATTTCATTTTGATTTCTCTTGACTATTACACTTTCCTGTTCTACTAGTTTCTGAGTTTCATTTTGACTCTTCCTTAAAATTTCATTTTCACGAGAAAGATTTTCAATCTTGTCCATTAAGGATTTCTGTAGTTCAAGGATTTGCTTTTGAAAACTTCTAAATGTTCTTATCATAAATTTTTTGAAATCCGTATCTTGCATTTCTTCTATCTCATCATCTTCATACTCTTGGCTTGGGGTGTTTTGCTTATTTGGAGGCATCATAGTGTCATCGTTGATCTTGCTCCCTCTATTTCTGTGTTTGTTACTCGGCATAGTTAATTCTTCTTGCGTCACTGTGCGCTTTTTTTTTTCTTTTTTTTTTTTTTTATACTGTGTCCGTGTTAAGTGGACTGCCTGCTGTTGGAGGAGCCTTGGAGGCTTGAGATGGGTGCGGCCTGAGAGCTCTGCCTGGTTCTTCCAGGTTAAGGGTGTGCAAAGGTGACACCCTCAGGTTATGCGTGGTAAATCTCTCTCTTTTTATTTATTTATTTATTTTATTTATTCAGGGGGTAAGTAACACTGCAGGGCAGGGCTGTGCAGAATTGATGGTATTTAGCTTCCAGTCTTTGGCTCCTCTGGACTCCCACTGGGTTGCCTAGGCTACTGAATTGTAGTGACTCAGTTCCTTAACTCTCCCCCACTGATATGTAAATCCAAAGAGGAGGCCTGCTCTTTGTCTCTTGGGAATTCTTCAAGTCTTGCAGGCTTGTAACCTTTGCAAGTTTAGGGGGAAGAGAAACCCCGAAGCTTTTTTTTTTCCTTCTTTCCGGTAGTGAGTTTGCTGCACTTTCCGGCCCCCCTCTAGATTCTGACCCCCATTTCCCCACCAATGTCTCGGGTTATTGAGCTCACCTCCCCTTCCAGCGCCAATGTGTGGACTCGGAGCCCTGAGCGTCTCAAGTCTCCCCGCTGTTTTCTGTGTGGCGTGCACTCTCCTTGGAGCACTGTCGCGCAGACCCTGGGGCTTCTGCGGCTGGGTCCCGCGGCTCGGCTTTCGCGCGGTGGGCGACCTTGTTCTCCCAGTAGGTCGTCCGATTCACGCCTGCTCCATTCAGAAGGGTTTCCCCTGCAATTTTTGTTTGGTTCTATTTTCTGCGGCTACCGTAACTCCCCTTTTATTAAACTAAATTTTCCCGGACTATCGGTGCGCGCCCTCACTATTCCGCCATCTTGGCTCAGCCCCCATCCAATGGCATTAAGCAAAGTGCAATTCATTTTGTTTTCTGCAAAATAAGTTATGTTTAAGCAAAAAAATTTCAGTGATGATAAATGCATTGCATTATTTATTTAGATGTTTAAGCTCTCGCACTAAGTTTTTACAAGCTGTTCAACACTGACAGATTATTCTCTGACAGAACTGTAACCACACATTCCCAGACAGTACAAATATATGGTTGAACTAACATTAATACACATCACCATTTTATCAATTACATAACAAAACAAATTATCAAGTATTCAAATATTAAGTTACATAGCTCAAAAGGCATATAAAATATTAGATGTCTGCTCATTTCATTAGCAGAAACCCACTTTTTTTTGCAAGAGGTTGAGAAGGAAAAAATCACACTTCAAACAAAAATAAGTTGGTAAACAACTTTTGATAAGTATGCAAAAAATCACAAGAATTTCAGTAATTTTATGATTAAGAATTTTAAGCTACAATAACAAAGCATCTCTACCTCTTAAAATATTTACTAAATTAAAGAGCATATTCTACATGTTATGTACAAAACAAAGGCAACATTTTACTAAAAATATTTAATAACCCCCTCCTTTTCTTTTCTCAGGCCCTCCCTGTCAAGCTGCACCTCAGAGTGCAAACATTAAGTTAACCGTAAGGCTTTTTTTTGTCTGAAGACATTAAAGACATGTGCTTCTGTACAACATAGATTTTCAAAATGGAGGTTTTATATTAACAACCAAAGATTTATAGAGACATTAAATAATCATAACACTTGGTTAAAAAAATCAATGGTTAAGCAAAACTGATGTGTACTGGTATGAATAGAGATGTAAACATAAAATGAGAAGGCAAATACCCATATAGTCCCTAGTTTTAATGTTTGAAATGACTGAAGGAATAAAAAATATAAGGTCTAGAGTGTTCATAGTTCCTGGGATTTTAATTCTGTATGCTATTAAAAACATACAAGTATTGTGCTGGGTATTTTGGCACCTAATCTTTCTAAATTTCTTATGTATTGATAAGATTCTGGCATGGGAATAGATTTAAGATACAACTCAATATTGCATGATTTCAGGAAAAGTCAATTGGTACAAAGCATAAGCACATTTTAAATACTAAACAGTTCTACTGCCAAGGCAATAACATTAGTCACCCCAGTTTTATTGAATGCAACAGTTGTTTCTATGACCATTGGAGTCTTTGAAGCACAGCCGCATCTTAGGACGATATTTTTCCAAATACAAAAGTTGTTTTCTGTTAAAAGCTCCTTGCCACTTTTGTCTTATGAACTGTACTGCATCTTCATATTTCATTCCACCTTCAATTAATGCTACAGCGACAAGCACTGGAGCTCTGCCAAGGCCTGCAATACAATGAACAGCAATACAACAACCAGGTTTTTCAGGAAACTTAATTTTTACAAGATTTAACCAGTCATCAACAATCTGGTTGGCTGGTGGTGCACCATCCTCAAAAGGCCAATCGAGAACATGGATGCCTTCTTTCTCCACAAGAGTAGTGTCATAAGGTGCTTCACATACTCTTACTATTGTGGTAATTCCATGTTTCTTGAGTTCCTCAAAATTTGTTTAATGTTGCATTGGTTGGATTATGTGTAATAAGAAATCTCATGTTCTTGTATGTGACTTCCACAGGAGCTGGGCAGTTCATTGGGCCATGTTAATTTACTTAAAAAACACTTAATCGGATTATGAAAGAATTTTAAAAAACTGAATACAAAAATTATGCAAAGAAACTGAAGTCTACATCACTACCTTCCACTTGCAATTCTCAGTGCTTTAAGTATGAAGTGGGGAGTAATGGGAAATGAAATGACCCTCCTAACGAGAAGCAGCAATTCTTCAGTCCAGTAATACTGAGGCAATAGAAAGGAAGTGCACTGAGGTTTACCCCATCCAGGTCAGAACTCCAGAAAAATGCTCTGTGGGTTTCAATTCCACACTTCTGTGTCCAGGTTAACCACTTTTATGGGGGCTTCTTGGTGGAGTAGTAAGGGATCTCTCCAGTTCACTTGTCTGCATAGAGGTCGTGCTGTGCCTGGCAGTGGTCCCCACTGCCCTTCAGAAACCCGATAAATGTGTGACCAAGAACACCACAGAACTGAGGAATATGTTTACTCATTGAAGATTGTGGCCTAATCATACAGCCGGTCCCGAGGGGACGACGACACAGGCGGTAGCAGCAGACGCAGGACAAGGGGCGGAGGTGGTCGTCGTGGGGCGGTGGCAGCAATGCAGGTGGCAGAGGGGGCACCGCACTCTGCTAGGAACTCTATTTATTAAGAAAATTATTTGAATACAGATTTGACTGAGTTTCTTTTGTCATCTTTCAATTTCATTTTTAATATTTTTTCATATTCAAGCTTTAAATCTCCATAATTTCTTTAAACTATAAAGACCATTTGCAAGCTTAAAAATTTAAATCTTAAAAGCATAGATTTTTAAATTATTATTTTTCTTTTGCATGCGGCGAAAGCGGAAATTCGGAAACTAAGGCTTTTGCAGGTGTTTTTGCAGGTGCTGGGGTTCCCGCGCGGCGACAGGAGCCAAATGGACATGCCCGCGGCGGTGGTTGAGGGTCCGGATGGCCTCCGGGAGCGACGAGGCTTGGGGGAGGCTGGGAGGCAGCAGCAGAACCACCATGTGCGGCCTCAGTCTGGGGCAAACGGGCTTCCCAGACACCCCTACTGGTTGGGTCTCTGGCTCTTCATCCTTCTAGATGTGGCGTTGTTTTTCTTCATGTATCTTTTGCCCTGACTGGTTTGCTGATACCTAGGATTAACAAGTTGACACCTGGAGTGGAATCTGAAAATGACTACAGACTTCTTGAATAAAGAAGACAGGAATTGTGCTGCAGCAGAATTTCAGACCTCTAAGGGAACTTCCTTTCGTTTTACACATCTGTTAAATCTGTTGGAAAACTACATTAAATGAATAGTAATCTCACTTACTCATAGCTAAGTTCTTAAACTAGACTCTTCAGTTCATGTTTAAAAATTTTCGAACATCTGATGGTTTTACAAGAGCTGAATATAAAAATGTTCATAAAATAAAAATGTCATTCCTGGAAGATTTTAAGTGTTGATTAGTGTTTAATATGATACAGATAATATGAATAGTAAGGTGAGGTATTTACAAGTTCAAAAGTAAATTATTGAAGAGGGAGGGAAAGATTTTGAGAGAAGGAACAAAATGCACTTGGAATGCATGGACTCTATAAATAACACAAAAACTATACAGAAAATGTAAGCCCATAATGTTGGCCCTAAATACTCTTTAATTATAGATGAAGTTGGACTGTTATGAAATGATGTCATGACTGGTAGGTTGACAGAGTCTTAAAGTAGATAACAAATATTAGAAATTTAGCATGCATGGGCCGGCGCAACGGCTCAATAGGCTAATCCTCCGCCTGCGGTGCCAGCACCCCAGGTTCTAGCCCCGGTTGGGGCACCGGTTCTGTCCTGGTTGCCCCTCTTCCAGGCCAGCTCTCTGCTATGGCCCGGGAGTGCAGCGGAGGATGGCCCAAGTGCTTAGGCCCTGCACCCCATGGGAGACCAGGAGAAGCACCTGGCTTCTGGCTTCGGATCAGCACAATGCGCTGGCTGCAGCGCACTGGCCGCAGCAGCCATTGGAAGGTGAACCAACAGCAAGAGAGGACCTTTCTCTCTGTCTCTCTCTCTTTCACTGTCCACTCTGCCTGTCAAAAAAAAAAATTTAAAAAATAAAAAAATAAAAGATGTCCACTCTGCCTGTCAAATATAGAAAAAGAAAACAAAAAGAAATTTAGCATGCATGTTCTTTTGTAAACTGAATGTCCTCCTTAATTCCTTTTAAACTCTAGCACTCCCTGAAATAGGATTCTGCATTTCAAACCTCTTTTTTATTGCTGTTGCTTCGTGTTTGTGGCCAAACATAATATTTTTATAATGTCTGTAACTTTAACTTCCAGAAATCAGCATGATATTTACTCATTCAATAGTTGCTTGAGCCTTCTATTGAACAAGCATTTTATTTATTTTTAATTTAAGAGGCACAGTGACACAAAGAGCAGAGTGCCCCTATCCACTCCCATCACTCCTCAGATGCCCCCAACAGCTGCTACTGGGTTAGGCAGAAACTCAGTTCAGGTCTCCCGTGGAGGTGGCAGAAACCCGATTACTTGAGCCATGACTGCTGCTTCTGAGAGTGTGCACTAGTGAAAAGCTGAAGTCAGGAGTGGGTATCAAACCAGGCACTCTATCAGGGCATGTGGGTTTCCTAGCTGCTAAACCAAATACATGCTTCTATTTTTTTTTAAGATTTATTCATTTATTTAAAAGGCAGAGTTACAGAGAGGCAGAGAGAGAGGTCTTCCAGCTGCTGGTTCACTCCCCGAATGGCCGCAATAGTTCTGGAACTGTGCCAATCCGAAGCCAGGAGCTTGGAGCTTCTTCCAGGTCTCCCACAGAGTGCAGGGGCCCAAAGACCTGGGCCATAGCAAGAGAGGTGGATTGGGAGTGAAGCAGCCAGGACTCAAACTGACACCCATATGGATGCTGGCACTACAGGCAGCAGCTTTACCAACTATTGCCATAGCACTGGCCCCGCTTCTATTGTTTTTAAGTCTATGTTATTTAGGAAAACTTTACATTCTAGGGGCAATCAGCTAACATTTAATCAGAAAGGCTCCACTCACAAAGCACTCTAAGTATCTAAGAAGCTACTCCTAATAACCCTAAAGGGTTTATAGAAAAGGGCTCTTAGCGCTGATATGAGTGGCAATCAGTATGTGTGAACTGTTTGAAATATTTGGGGATTAGATAAACTCTATGTCATCTACCTTTCATAATGATTCTTGGAGCAAAGTCTGGAATTGATTTTGGAGGTTTTATTGCCTAATGACTGAAGTTAACAGTTACACCTTCTATGTAGTGTCACATCTAAAGAGAACCTTTTATGGAAGGCACAATGGAAACATCTGAACACTGAGTTTATCAAACAGACTATGAACTATTTTTGCACTGCTTACTAATAATTTTGTCTAATAAATGTTTATGTGGCTGAAAAATATATAAATTATTGTAAGTGTGTCATAAGTAATATTGAATACAGTCACTTTAGTAACTAGCTTCTCTAAAACTGGTTAATACATCATAAATCCAATCTGAGTGTAAACAACTAACTATAACCATGCTTACCTGGGAAAGGCAGGCAGTGATTCCAAAAAAAATCTGACATGACTCTGGAGAAAAACCATTTACACTGTTTCATAGTTATTAAGATTACAAGGAAATAAGATTAGTGCAACCTGTACTTCATTACACACACACTCTATTTGCCTGCTTGGATACCACCCGAACCCCCTTTAGGAGAGAGACAGACTTAAGACAACCAAAGAAGAGGGCAGGGAAGACTGGACTAGAGAGACATGGAAAATACAGAAAGAACTGAGTAATTTTTTGTAAAGCACATTTAATAGTCAGTTAATTATATACACTTAGGTAAACTCATACATGCATATACACATAGAGTACATCAACTATTTTAACATCAAATTTAAAATGTCTTATCTGTTTTAGAATGAAAATTAATGTAATTAACTCCAAAAATTCTTCATAGAAGAGCTGGAACACTAGTTTTATTATCACCATTAACTTTGTGAACTCAGGCAACATAATTCTGAGCCTCAGTTTCCTTTTTTAAAACAAGGCTTGGGGGCCGGCACCGGGGCTCACTTGGTTAATCCTCCATCTGCGGTGCCGGCATCCCATATAGGCTCTGGGTTCTAGTCCCAGTTGTTCCTCTTCCAGTCCAGCTCTCTGCTGTGGCCCAGGAGGGCAGTGGAGGATGGCCCAAGTGCTTGGGCCCTGCACCCACATGGGAGACCAGGAGGAAGCACCTGGCTTCGGATCAGTGCAGCACTACCCATAGCAGCCATTAGGGGAGTGAACCAATGGAAGGAAGACCTTTCTTTCTGTCTCTCTCTCAGTCTATAACTCTACCTGTCAAATAATAATAATAAAAAAAACAAGGCTTGGAATATATGATTTCCAAGATCATCCTTCCTAGTTCTAAAGCTCTGATTTCTAAAATTCAAAGTAATACTGGGAGCTTCCTGTATGCCCAACACTGAGCTTGTGGCTAACCATGAGGTAGACATGATTTTGATGTGTCCTTATTTGATAATCTATCCAAATCAAACACAATGGACTTTTTTTTAAAGAAAAGTTAGAGCGTCCAGAATTCAAAATTGGTTCAAGTATTAATTCTCTTTCCCTATAGGATAATAGTATAATTACTGAGAATGTTAAGAAAAATACCAGATTGAAACTACCATAATTCTAAAGTCTACAAGTAGACAGACTTATCTCAGAAATACTGGCTCCTTCCTTGGCTGTAATAAACTCTATAGACCCTCAAGATCTGCCATCATCTTCCTACTTAGCTCAGAGATTTTCTGCTTCCAAAAACTTGGGGAAACATTTGCACATGCCAAGCTCAGCATGTATGGTCTACCAGAGGTTTCGGGTTCTCTTTTCTGGTCCTTTAGGCTTCTTTGATAGGCAAGTAAGAACTCAGAGGACAGCTTAAGGAAGGCTGCTGTGCTTAGTAAACCATCCCAGAGGGGATAACAGGCCTCTTAGCTTCAGAAATCCCCATCTCTCTCCCCTACTCCAGTAATGTGTTTATAAAGAACCAAAGCCAAATTTAAAAAAACAACTAAAAAGTAGGAATTGATTTTTTTTTCATTTTTTAGACAGTGAATGAGAATCTAAGGGAGCTGCTGAAGTGCTGCACATTCTCCAGAAAAGGATGCTTTCTCTGCTTATGTGAAGTCCTCTAACATACTTCATTATATAAGAGTCCTTCCTGGCCAGCACCGTGGCTCACTAGGCTAATCCTACTCCTGCGGTGCCAGCACCCCAGGTTCTAGTCCTGGTTGGGGCACTGGTTCTGTCCTGGTTGCTCCTCTTCCAGTCCAGCTCTCTGCTGTGGCCCAGGAAGGCAGTGGAGGATGGCCCAAGTGCTTGGGCCCTGCACCCGCATGGGAGAATAGGAGAAGCACCTGGCTCCTGGCTTCAGATGGGCACAGCATGCCAGCCGTAGCAGCCATTTGGGGGGTAAACCAATGGAAGGAAGACCTTTCTCTCTGTCTCTCTCTCTCTCACTAACTCTGCCTGTCAAAAAAAAAAAAAACAAAAACAAAAAACAGTCCTTCCATCTGTATTGGCTTAATAAGAAGTGCATTCAAAGGAACTGCCTGGCATCACTGTAAAATAAAATAGGTGAATGACATAACCTCTTGCTGATGCCTCAAACTGTATTTTAACTGTATGACACCAGGTACTGTTAAAAATATACAAGCAGATCATTGCTTGGAATCAACCTCCAGTGCCATTTCATCCTGTGAGGGTGAAGCAGTGCCACCAGGCTGGGAGAGTAAACAGCCACCCTGTACCAGATGCAGCCCCTCTGTTCTAACACTTTCCATCACACGCAATGCTGCATGACAAATGCAGGCATCAAGGAAGTTCCCTCAGGGCACAGTGATGTCTTCCTCACTGCTCAACTTCCAGTCCCCAGCCCACAGCCACTGCTGAAATGTACACTGAATAAACTTCCTATCCAGTGTAATTTAAAAACATTCACAATGCATGTCATAAAATGAAGACATTTCTCCTCAGAATCTCTTCTATTCTTCAAATAATTTGTGATCTGGTTCACACAGACCCAGAATTTTAGAAATATTCTTCATCTAGCTACACATCACACAA